GAAATCGGTTTTTTTTTGTAGTGACAATCACAATGTATTGACATAGATGGTGTCGGTTTCATTCCTAGTGGAATCTCGGCCAAGAAATTTCTTAACCACTCAGCCTCAGTACCAGCTATTTCCAGAGCTATAAACTCAGATTCTATGGCAGATCTAGCAATGATAGTTTGTTTGGCTGGTTTCCATGTAATTGCACCCCTGCCAAGAGTTAATACATGACCAATAATGGATGTGGTCTCATCTGAATCTGAAATCTAATTTGCATCGCTGTATCCTTCAAATATAGCGGGAAATCCACTATATAGAATACCATAGTTCATGGTACCTCTTAAATATCTCATTAGTCTGACTAATCCAATCCAATGACCACGATTAGGATCATGAGTATATCTACTTAGTCTGCACATAGCATAAGCTATGTCAGGTCTAGAAAAGTTCATCAAATGCATCAGACTCTCAATAATTTGAGCGTATTTAGTTTAAGCAATTGGATCACCACGATTTTTCTTTAATTGAGTATTTGCATAATAAGGAGTACTCACAGGTGTCACATCAATGTGATCAAACTTCCTAAGAAGTTTCTCTACATAATGTTGTTGTGACAACATTATACCATTGTCTCTCCGTATGATATTAACACCCAAAATCACACTAGCTTCACCCATGTTTTTCATATCAAATTGTGAAGCTAGAAAACATTTAGTACTTTGCACTACATCAATGCTAATACCAAATATAAGCATATCATCCACATATAAACTAATAATCACACATTCATTAGTAGCAACTTTTGTATAAATACACTTATCCACATCAACTGATGAGAAACCATTACTCAATATAATTTGATCAAAATTTTCATGCTATTGTTTTGGTGCTTGTTTAAGACCATACAGAGACTTTCTCAATTTACACACTTTATTCTCTAACCCAGGAGCTATTTAGCCCTAAGGTTGCACCATATAAATCTCTTCTTCTAGATCACCATTTAAAAAAGATGTTTTAACATTCATTTGATGTATAAAAAGCTTGTAAATAGAAGCTAAGGCAATTAAAATACGTATTGAAGAAATTCTAGTTACTGGAGCAAAAGTTTCAAAATAGTCAACATTTTGTTTTTGTGTAAAACCTTTTGCAACTAGTCTAACTTTATATTTATCAATCGAACCATCAGGAAAACATTTTTTCTTAAAAATCCATTTGCAGGCAATTGGTTTTGTCCCGGGAGGTAAATCAACTAATTCCCACGTTCGATTTTGTAAAAGTGACTCAATCTCATTATCAATAGCTTCTTTCCAAAGTGGTGCATCAGAAGATGAGATAGCATCAGAGTAAGTGATTGGGTCACCATCAACAAGATAAGTGACAAAGTCATCTCCAATGGAAAATTCTTTCCTAGGTCTCTTACTCCTTATTAATTCCTTGTTAGAGCTCATGTCAACACTTTCATTAGTATATCGATTAACAAGTGCATGAGAAATCTTTTCAGACAACGGATAAATATGTTCAAAGAATTCAACATTCTTTGTTTCAACAATATCACTCTTTAAAACTAGAAACCTATATGCAGCACTATGTTTGGCATAACCAATAAACATACAATCAGAAGTTCTAGAGCCTATTTTCCTTTTTCTAGGTTCAGGCAGCATAACCTTAGCAAGATACCCCCATACTTTTAAGTATTTAAGATTAGGAGTATAACCCTTCCACAATTCATAAGGTGTCATACCAGTTTTCTTATAGGGAATTCTATTTTGTAAGTGACATACGGATAAGATAGCTACCCCCCACAAGTTATTAGGTGTAGAAGAACTTATTAACATAGCATTCATCATTTCCTTTAGTGTTCTATTCTTCCTTTAGCTACACCATTTGATTGTGGAGAATAAGGAGGAGTAGCTTCATGAATTATACCTTCCTCTTCACAAAAATCATTGAGTGGTAAAAATTCTCCTCCTCTGTCTGATCTAATTTTTTTGATTTTTCTACTCAATTGATTTTCAACCTCAGCTTTATAAACTAGAAATGTATCATAGATTTCATCTTTATTTCTAAGCAAGTAAACTTTGGTATATCTTGAGAAATCATCTATAAAAGTCACATAATATTTCTTCCACCTCTAGTCATTATTTGTTTTAAATCACCTAAATCAGTATGAATTAAACTTAGTAACTCACTTTCCTTATGAACAGCTGCACAAGTTTTCTTAGTTTGCTTAGTCTCAGCACAAACTTCACTTTTATTTATGCATGTAGGGCCAGAACTAGATATCATACCTTGAGAAAGCATTTTCTTAATATATGAAATACTAACATGACCTAGTCTAGCATGCCACATATCTATAGAATCAGTCAAGTAAACAAAAGATGATCCAGCATTTTCATTAATGATATTGTGAACATTCAGTACAAATAACCCTTGATTACAATAACCTTTCCCAACAAGAACATTATTTTTGGTCATTACAATCTTGTCAGATTCAAATGACACCTTAACCCCTGCTTTCCCTAATAGTGCTACAGAAATTAAATTTGCTCTAATGTTAGGAACATGCAGCACTTCATTCAAAGCAAAGGTCTTGCCAGAGGTTAGCTTGAGTTGGACTTTCCCTTTACCAACAACTTTTGTTGTTCTTGAATCTCCAAGGTAGACTACCTTTTCTCCATCTCCTATAGAAGTGTAGGAGGAAAAGGCATCCCTGTTAGCACAAATGTGTGTTGTTACCCCAGAGTCTACCACCCAGTCCTTAGCACTGGCCACAATATTCACTTGAGAAATAACCGCAGTTATAATATCATCTCCTTCGACCAAGTTGACTTTTGGCTTTGGAAGATTGTCATTTCTCACTCTTTTCCGACATTGAGGTGCATGATGGCCAGGCTTTCCAGAAACATAGCAAGTGCCTTCCTTTTTGAACATATGGTTATTAACTTTAGGCTTGAAATCACAGGTTTTATTGTTGTACCTTGTTTCTTATACCAGGTGGGACTTTGTTGTCATTTCCTTTGCCTTTGCGGCTTTTGACTCCCTTCGATTGGTGTCCTCAATAAGGATGTGTGTGATAAGCTCGTCCAGTG